ATTTATTATAATTTTATAATATAATTTAAAACTACTTGAATTTTGCGAGGGTATTTTTGAGATAGCTTTCCGTTTTTTATTTTTTTTATTTTTTTTTAAATGTTTTAATAGGAAAAAATAGTAAAATTTACCAAAATTCTTTTTTTTTTTTTTTTTTTTTTTTTAAATTCTGTGTCTGACGCAAAAATTACTTTTACTACTAAAATATGTCAAGTATTGTCTAACTAAACAAAAAGTTAACTACTAAGATTGGACAGAGAAAAATTTTTATAAAATGCCTACTAAGTCTGAAATTTATTATTCGGTCTGACTAAATTTTCCTTATACTACTTATATTAAGAAAATGTGAAGAAATGTCTGACTTTGCGAGAGTTTAACTACTAATATTGAAAAATGAAAAACAATTTCAAAAATAGCTACGAAGTCTAATATTTATTTATTAATAGTAGAAAAATATTCCGTCTGACTAAATCTACTTTATACTACTTAGAGAGATAAGAAAAATCAACTAGTCTGACTAAAATCGACTTTTACTACTAGTAAAGAAATTAAAATCATTTTAGAAAAAAAATATAATAATAAACAAAGAAAAATTATTTTAATTTTAATTCAAGTTAGAAATTTTATTTTTACTTTAATTTCCAATAATTAAATTTAAAATTAACTTGAAATTGGTAAAATTTACCAGAAAAAACGAGGTATTTTCAAATAATTAATTATTTACTGCAGACAGACGGTTTTTTGTTTAAATTCATTTCTGTATCAATATTTTGTTTTTGTATTTTCTTTTTGGGCGGCATTTATTTGAAAAAAAGAAGAGAAAAAAAATCAAAGAGAAAATTAATATTTTCCTGGATTTTTGTTTTTATGACAGATATAGGGGACTTTATTGTATGACACTTGATTGACTCGAGAGTGATTGATATTAATCTTTTCAAAATATCTCTGCATTTTTTGTTTTGTTTTATTTAACTACTTTTAAAGTATTTTATAATTACATTTTCATATTTCAGAGGAAAAATTTATTTTCTTTTCTGACAAAAAAAAACGCATTATTTCTACCTAAAAAGAATTTAATAGTATAAATTTCAATTTGATCAATTTTCTTATTACATTAATCCTAATAAATAAATTGGAAATTTAAAGTGCAAAGTTTTAATAAATAATTTCTGAATATTATATAATTATGTCCTATAATAAAAAAATGGTCATGTAACTGCTGATTATTAAGAATTAATAAATCTTGTCTGCTCCATTTCTTTTTTTAAAATGAATTATCATTTTTAATTTTTTTTTCTTTTTTAAAAAAAGAATTTATATAGTTTTATCGATAAATGTATAATCTGATTAAAAATTCTTTTATTAGAAAACGAGAGTTTCAAATGAAAATTTACTGTTTTAATTTGAATTATAGTTTTTAATTTTTTAGCAAAAAATAACTAATTATTAGTTTCCTTCCAAAAATTGCTTATAATAATAATAATTGCTTTAATAATAGGTGATAAAATAATTTACCATTACACTTTGTAATTTTTTTCCACTGAAAGTAAAAATTACTTATTTTAAAATAAGTAGAGTATGAAATAAATATATTTTATCTAACTTAGATAAATTATATTTCCTTTAAATAGAATTTTTCTCTGGACGTTGAATTGGATTTAATTGATATTAAATGATATATTTTGATTATTTCTTAAAATAAAATTCTCATAAAATATAAATAGCCGAAAGTCTAGTACAACTATAGTCTTATCTAGAATTTATCAGAGAAACCCAGAGGACACTTGCTAGCATATGTCAAGTCCAGAATGATAAATTTACACACGGAAGGGGATTCCGTTAATTTAAGGGGAGAAAAAATGGGTATTAAGGGTAAAAAGGGCAATCAACTGTCATCCCCGTAATTGTTGAAGCAAAATATAAGCCAATATTTTACTATAAATTCAGATAAATAAATATTTTATTTCCACACAAGTTTAACTTTTAATTAAGTTTGACTTTTATAGTCTCGAAAATATCAGATTATATAATCTCCTATTTTTAACACTCAATCAATTAATTTCAATCTTTTAAGGGTTCGTTCATAAACAACGTATTAAAAAATGGTGCTTAACAAATGTAAACGTGTAATGCATGTACTGACAAAAATATTATTTGAATATCAAATAAAATTATTTGATTAATTGAATCACATATTTAGTTAATACAAAAATAATAAAATAAAATAATAGTCAAAAATTTATAAAATTAAAAAAAAAGGAATTAAATATATTTGAAGTTACTATTACATTAAATTAACAGTTTTTTTAAAATTATTTTCTAGAATTCTTGACTAAAATTAATTTTTAAATCAATTCTTTTTAATAACTTTTGAAAAAGTTCTTTAAGAATTTTCAAATCCATTTTTAAAATTTTTAAATCATTTTTTATTAGAAAATTCTACGAGAGTTTTTAAAAATTAATATTCATAGAGAATTTTATCAACAAATCTTTAAATAATTAAATTCTTTTGACCAGTTTTAATAAAAATTTTTTAGAATAATTACAATTCTCGAGGAATTCAATTAAAATTGTATTACAAATAATTGAAATTCTGCGATGAGTTTTATTATTTATGAAAGTAATTGAATTTCTGTCAAATTTTTATTATTAATTAAAAATAATTAAATCTTTGCATAGAATTATATTAAATTTTTTTCCCAATTGTAAATGCAAAGCAACTTTTTCAAAATTTAATTAATTTATATTTAAGTAAAATTATTCATTAAATTATTTATAAGTTATAATTTTTTACAATCATCTCATAGACGATTTATTAAAATTATCCTTGACAATCATTTTGTTTAAACTATTTTCTCCTTCTTCGAGACTCCTGACTTTTTCGACTAATTTGTCATTAAAAATATTTACTTCTTTTTTATTCTGCAAATAAATTGAATTCCTGCAACGAATTTCATTATTCATGAAAAAATTTCATAAACATTTTTAAATAATTGATTTCTTTCGACTAATTTTATGAAAATTCTAATTTCAATCATTGAAATCCTGAGGAATTTTTATTATTCATGAAAAGAATTGAAATCTAACCAAGATTTTTACAAAAAAACTTTTAAAAAATTCAATTTTGTTTGGAAATTTAATGAAAATAGTAGATATTGAAAATCATTGAATTGCAAAAATTTTTTTTAAATAATTAGATTTTACAAAAAATTCTATTAAAATTTTTGAGAATAATAATTGAATGTCTGTGGTATTTTATTAAATTTTTTTTTAAAATAATTGAATTCTTAGAAAGCATTGTATCATTTATAAAAATAATTAAATTCTTACAAAGGATTTTATTAGAATTTTTTAAAATAATTGAATTTTGAAGAAAAAATGTATTAACAATTACTTTTAAAAATAATTGAATTCTTCTGATGAATATTTTTATTTATGATAATAATTAAATTAAATAATTAAATTTTGCAAAGAATTCTATTAAAATACCTCGAAATAATTGAATTTTCGAAAATAATTTTGTTATTTATCAACATAATTGAATTCTTTCAAAGAATTATTTATGTAAATAATTGAATTGTCGGGAAGAATTTTATTAAAATCTAAACGAATAATTGAATTATTTTTAAAAAAAATTAATTGAAATTGTATTTACAATAATTGATTTCTTTCGAAAATTTTTATTAAAAAAGTTGAAAATAATTGAATTCTTCGAACAAATTAAAAAAAAAATTTTTTTAAATAATTGATTTTTTCGAGGAAATTGAAATTAAATTTCTAAGAATAATTGCATTTCTCGAGCAATTTCTATAAAATTTTATTAAAAATAATTGAAATCCTGCAATGAATTTTATTATTTATAAAAATAATTGAATATTTACTCAGAATTATATTAAAATTTTTTAAAAATAATTGAATTGCTGATAAGAATTTTATTAAAATCTAAAAGAACAATTGAATTATTTAAAGCAAAATTAAATAAAATTGTATTTAAAATAATTGATTTCTTTCGAAATTTTTCATTTAAAAATTTGAAAATAATTAGATTTTTCAAAAAAAATTGTTTAAAAAAAACATTTTTTTTTAATAATTGATTTTTTTGAGAAACTGAAATTAAATTTCTAAGAATAATTAATTACATTTCTCGAGTAACTCCTGTAAAATTGTATTCAAAAATAATTGAAATCCTGCGAATGCAATTAATTTTATTATTTAAATGAAAATAATTGAATTGCTCAGAATTATATTAAATTTTTTTTAAAATAATTAAATTTCTGAGAAGAATTTTATTATTCATAAAAGTAATTGAATTATTGCGAAAAATTTTATTAAAATTTTTTTTTTAAATAATTCAATTTCCATGAAAACTGTTATGATTAGTGAAAGTACTGTGAATTATTGAGAAGAATTGTATAAAATTGTTGTTGAATAATTGATTTTTTCAAAATTCTTTTCAATACGATATTCTGAATTAATTGAATTCCTGTGGAAATTTTATTATTTCTAAAAATAATTAAATTTTGATTTAATTTTATCAATTTGTTTTTTAAATAATTAAATTCTTTTGCGAAATTTTATAAAAATACTACACTGAAAAAAAATTTATTTTGTTTCAAATAACCGATTAATTGACTCTATTATCAATTAAATATTTACTTGAAACAAATAATATATATTTGAGTCAATTAAATGGTATTTGAAACAATAATTTCTGTTTTTGAAGCAAATATGAATTATGAACCATTTAATTGACTCCAATAAAATATTATTTGATTATTAATGAAATATTTCATTGATAATAGTCAATTAATTAGTTATTTGAAATTTTGAATGAAATAAATTGGCAACACTTTTAATTTGTTTTTGTCTCAATTTGACATCATTAGAAAAACTGTGATAAATATTGTCAAATTGAGACAAAAAACGAATCAAAAGTGTTGCAACACTTTTGCAACACTTTTGAAATTTTTTGAAAAATTTGTTTACTTATTTACACATACCTAATTTAATTTTCATGTCGAATTGAGTTTTTTCCGATTTCTTCTTTGTTCTCTGAATGAAATTGATCGTATCACGTAAGTGCTTCTCTTGACGAGCTTGTGCTTGTGCATTGAAGATAAAATTCGATGAATCTAGTTCACGTTCGCGAATCCGGTCACTGCTGCTACTGTAACCAACACGGCAAGCATGGTTGCCAGAGTGAAAACCACCTTTCCCGGGTTCTCGTAACCTGTAGCCACAAACGACATTAGCTGTTCCAGGTACGTTTATCGGCCTACAACGTGATTTGACTGCTTCATACCCAGGAACGTGATTTGAACGTACCGCAATGTTCATTGTCTCTTCGGAGACACTAAATACAAAATAGACAGTTCGAGCGAACGAGACTCTAGTGATTATGCCAGTCGAGTACATTGTAAAACGTAATGGGCCAAATTTTATTGAGTTACACGTTTCTCCCCCCCCTCTCTATTTGTCCATTTCTCTCTCTCTTTCAGTGGGAGTCAATTTACCCTCGGGGAATGAAGGAAAAAGTCTGTGATCTGTATTTCAAGTCACAAAACATTCTCCACGATACATTTTATATGAGCAGAGTGAACTTAGAGGGAAATTCTTCCGTTCGCAAAAAAAAAAATAAATAAAATAAAATGATTTTTTCTCTCTCTCTTTTTTATGTGCACTCAGCGGGCATGGATGCAAAGGGGGGAAAAAAAATCTCGACTCATTTTTGTTGCGTGTTGCAAATTGATGCAATGCTAAACGACACAGAAAACGTAGCGCTAGAATTGAGATATAAAGCTGTGCGCACATAAAGAATTGTATTTAAAATGACTACTGCTACTCTTTAGGGAAATTAATTTACGCAATTCTGTGTCTGACGCAAAAATTACTTTTACCACTGAAATCGGGACAAGAAAATATGTCTAACTTGACGAGAGTTTAACTACTAATATTGAAAAGTTAAAACTGTTTCTAAAACTGTTTCTAAAATCTAAATAATAAATTTCTAAGTATGAAATTTATTTAGTAGTAGCAGAAAAATATTCGGTCTGACTAAAGACGAATTTTACTACTAAAAAAGAATTTATTTAAAGTTTGATTAAATAAAAAAAAATTTCTAGTGTAGTCATTGTAGTATTAGAAAAATATTCGGTCTGACTAAAGTCAAATTTTACTACTAAACAAAATATAATTTAAAATTTAAATTTGATTAATTAAAATATTTTTGCTAGTGTTAATTTTAGAAATAAAGTACAATTTACCAGAATTTAATTTCTATTATTTTATAATTAAAATTCTGTGTAAAATTACTTTTACTACTGAAATCTGTCAAGTATTGTCTGTAACTAAACAAAAAGTTAACTACTAAGATTGGATAGTGAAAAGTATTTATAAAATACCTACTGAGTCTGAAATTTATTTAGTAATAACGGAAAAATATTATGTCTGACTAAATCTACTTTTTACTACTTCGAGAAAGAAACAGAAACAACTATTCTGACTAAACACTATAATTACTAATTATAGTTAAATTACAGAAAATATTCGGTCTGACTAAATTTTCCTTATACTACTTATAATAAGAAAAATGTCAAGAAATGTCTGACTGTGCGAGGGTTTAACTACTAACATTGAAAAATGAAAAACAATTTCAAAAATAGCTACGAAGTCTAATATTTATTTATTAATAGTAGAAAAATATTCCGTCTGACTAAATCTACTTTATACTACTTAGAGAGATAAGAAAAATCAACTAGTCTGACTAAAATCGCCTTTTACTACTAATTAACAATTTAAAATCGTTTTAGAAAAAAATATAATAATAAACAAAGAAAAATTATTTTAATTCTAATTCAAGTTCGAAATTCTATTTTTAGTTTCATTTTCAATAATTTAATTTAAAATTAACTTAAAAATGATGAAAGTTAATACAAGAAAACAAGGAATTTACAAATATTTATATATATTTTCATTGTAATTGTTTAAAAATAGAGGAAAAATATTCTGTCTGACTAAATCGGCCTTATACTACTTATAAAAACAAAGAGAATAGACTTGACTGACTAAAATCGAATTTTACCACTAGTAAATAAATTAAAATCATTTAAAAAAAAAAAATTATTAACAAAACAAAGATTGGTATTACTTTTTTTTAATTTAAGAAAGAGAAAATTTTTAAAAAACAATTTTCCATTGTTAATTTTACTAATAAAGTAAAATTTAACGAAATTTTATTTCAATTATTTTTAATTAAAATTCTGTGCCTGACGTAGAAATTACTTTTACTACTGAAATCGGGTGATTAGTGTCTAACTAGGTTCATTACTAATATTGGAAAGTAAAAAAATTTTCTAAAATATCTACTAAGTCTAAAATTTATTTATACTACTTTATTAAAACAAAGACAGACAGCTAGTATGACTAAAGTTGACCTTTACTACTAATAAAGAAATTAACATCATTTAGGAAAAAAAATGTAATAATAAACAAAGAAAGATTATTTTAATTTTAATTTTTAATTCAAGTTTCAAAAAACAATGAGAAATAACTATTCTGATTAAAGTCAAATTTTACTACTATAATACAGAAATTAAAATCATTTTGAAAAAAAAAATTATTAAGAAAGCCAAAAATAATATTATTTCTTTTCCTTTTCGATAGAGAGAAAAATTAAAAAAAAAAAAATTTTACAAATGTTAATTTTACAAATAAAGTAAAATTTACCGAAATTTTATTTCAATTATTTTTTAATAAAATTCTGTGTCTGACGCAAAAATTACATTTACTACTGATATCGTGGTAAGAAATGGCTGACTGGACGAGTGTTTATCTACTACTACTAATTATTTACCACTACTGAATACTGCTTTAAAATTATTAACGCATGTCTGACTAAAGCTGGGTTATACTACTTAATATCTAAAGTAGAAATGCCTGCAAATAATCAGTCTGATTTTTATTGACCGTTACTACTTCCAAAGAAGGGAAAAATCATAAAAAAGAAGAAAATTCTTGTCAGTAGTGATGCAAATTACAATATTGCAAAATTTTACTGTCACTCATGGACCTTTACCACTTTTATACTAATATTGAAAAAGTTGTCTGAATGAAATCTATTTTTACTACTTAGAATAAAAATTTCGACTTTAGTCTGACCAAACATAATTTTTACTACTTAATAATAAAAGAGAAAATAATTGGATTGTCTGACTAATGCAAAGTTTTACTACTAATAGCATTTCAAAGTTTAAATCATTTTTAAAATAAATTTATAAATAAAATCATTTGAAAGTCATACGTCTGACTGAACTGACTTTTACTACTGAAAACAATGATAATCGAATGTCTGACAAAAAATTACATTTTCTATACTGTTTTTGCCTATTAAAAAATAATTTTTATTACAAAATTCTGCCTCCTACTACTTGGGATAAATAAATAAAGAATTTTCGTAACAATACGTCTGATTGAAAACAGACATTTGCGGTTTTTTTTTAAATTGAACCTTAGTGTTTCTACGGAAAATAATTTAGAAAACAATGACTAAAATTAAAATTAATTAAATTAATCAATTACCAGTATGATAAAGAAAATTTATAATTTACACATAATTTACAGGCTTGTCTGACTTAATACTGATCTTACTACTGAAAAGTAACATTTTTTTAAATTAAAATGTAGTTAGCGTAATGGTAATAAGAGCTTATGGTAATAAGAGTCTAAGTACCATAATTGCAACTATACCATCGATTATAAAAAAAACCCATCAATTTGATTAGTACACAGCAATTTCGAAAAATTATTCCAAAAGTCCATTAAAAAACGAAGGTAATTTTTCTCTAATAAACGAGACTTTAATATTTTCGTCAATAAAATTAAATTTTTTTTATAGAATTCATTTAAAAATTATGACGAGCTTATAGTGGTTGAAAAAAATAGCATTCCTTTCTTAAGTTTCCTTTATACGAACGCGCCGAGAATAATACTTTAATAAACCGTTTGTATATGAGCGCTGTATAAAACAATAAATTCTCTATCGATATAGAATAAAATTTTTTATAGATTATTCTCCAGAGTTTCTATTTTCAAATTTATTCCCAATAAAATTAGTTTAGAAAATATTTGACATCTCTTTCAAAGACGTGAGTAAAAGAACAAATTTTACAGTATAGTAAATATTATTATACAAATAATATTGTTTAGAATTTTAACTAATTCATTTAATTAAATTACATTTATTAGTAGAAATTCAATATTGTTAGGAAGAAAAATTAGAAAATGATATTCATTAGATTTTTCTATTTTATTTACTTATTTATTTTTTCATTAAAAAAATATAGCAAAAAAGGAAAAAAATAATTATCAACTAAAATTGAATGTTTCAATTGAAATTAAAGTTTAAATAAAAAATTAAAAATTTTCTGAAATTAAATTTTTTATAAAGTGAGGAAATGTGAATGAAGCGTCTAAAAATAAATATTCATATTTAGTTATGAAAAATAAGCGAAAATTGAATATTAAACTCGATTTCAAACATCGATATTAATTATAAATAACAAATGTTTTCTGATAAACACTTATTTGGAATTATTGAACGAAAGAACTTCTCAATTCCAATATAATTGTGTGTATATATATATGTATATATTATATTTGTGTATATATTATAATGAATGTATTTAACTGTATATATAAAACTCTAACACTTCATAACGCGTTAATTAACGATTATGTAATTATTGAATAACTGGGGTAATTGGCTATAGAGAATTCGTTATTAAATAAATTATTATCTAATAATTAGAAATATTTTACGAGTGAACTATAATGGTTAATATCCACACAATTTATATCGTTATAGAGGTATATGTATAACAATAATAATAAAATTCTTTAAATGGTTTACATAAAAGTTATTAACCTATAAAACAGCTATATTGCCAGAGGAGAGGACTTGGTTAAATGAAAGAGCAGAAACACATCTGAACTTTATAAAATCAATAAATATATATGTTATAAAAAATATAACGCACGTTATTTATATAAAAAAATCATTTTTATATTTTCCTGTCGATAAGAAAAAAAAATGAAAAAAACATTTTTCTATTCAACTTAAACTTCGTAAGTTTTTTCCTATCTCTTCTAATGATACATTTAGTTCATGTTTCGACTCTAACGAATGAAAGAACAAGGTACTGGTACTGTAAAAATTTAATTGGTTCAATTTTATAATTGACAAAATGTAGAGAAAAAAAAATATATCTATAAAAATGTCAGAATGTCTATTCAATTAAAATCATAGTATAGAAATAAATTACGAGAGTATAAACTGTGAAAATCGATAACTGACTGTATAATCGTAAATATTTTTATTGTTTTTATTGAAAATTATTTTTATTAAAAATAAGCAAATA